TGCGCCCCCCCCCCCGGTTGGCAGCCTGCGGCAAGTGAAGCCGGGCTGATGGCCGAGTGCTGTGATGTGCCGAGTGTGGGCATTCAGGGCACTCCATGTCAGGACTGCTTTGCTGTACCTCATCGAGTTAGACAAGCAAGCAGGGAACCCCTGAGAACTGTCTGTCTGGGGTGAGGGTCAGGTCCCTTTAAGCACAGCCCTCGGCTAGCCTGAGATAGCAGCTCCAAACTGTAAGTCCTAATCTGATGCCCTGCCGATGCTGCTTCCGGCCATCCTTAACCTCGGTTCAGGGTCCACTCAATGTGGACATGCTAGTTCGAATTAGCAAAATGCTAATTCGAACTAGTTTTCAGGTCTAGATGCACTAGTTCGAATTAGCTAGTTCAAATTAGTTAGTTCAAATTAGTGCTGTAGTGTAGACATACCCTGGGTGTTCATTTGATAAGGGGATGGACATTGGAGGGAATGCTCCTACATGTGCCAATTGCAACTTGTGCAGAGACAGGCCTGCAGAGGACATGAAGGAAGTGCTTGTGCAGCCAATGACTGGTGATTTCAGAGTACTGATTCACAACATGCACATATTCATGCTATAAGGCAGGGGTGGAGAACCTCATGCCCACGGGCCAGATTCGGCCTCCCACATTGCCTGGATCTAGTCCTGAGGCTAAGGGACCCCTCCTCAGCATTGGGTAGCATATGCTGGTACTTCAGCCTCACACCTGCCCCACCATAGGGCTGGAGAACACAGAATCTACTAGGCTGGGTCCCAGTAGGCTCTGGTGTGGGAGGAGAATGTGAGGAGTGTCTTTCTTCTTTTTAGTCAAGCACCACGTCAGTGAGATAGATAGATTTGCTTTTCACTTGTATGTGGCCCCCAACTGGTTTATCTATGGGTCAGTGGCCCCCAAACAAAAAAAGGTTCCCCACACCTGCTATAAGGGAAGTTACTAGTGAAGTGCCTTTTAACCCCAAACATCCCTGGGGAGCGATATTTTCTGTGCTTTAGATTTTTAAGTCTTTGGTTGTCAGACCAATAAAAAATTACATTCAAGTCGCTAGTCCTTCATTTAGAATGCCCTGACTCCAACTCCTAGACATATAAATCCACGAGGAAAAGCATATCAATTAATCACAACTGTCCCGTTGTGTGGGGAGACAGAGGCAGTACCTAAGATATCCAGAAAAAGCTTTAAAGATCAGTGTAAGCCCTTTGAATTATACCCAAAATTAATAGGACATCTGTGCAATCCAATGTGCTCCCTATGTCTAGCCCTGCCAAGTAAGCATGTTAGCACATTTTGCATCAACCTCATCAATTTTGCATTGCCTCTATCAATATCATAGTCCAATCTGTGAATCAAAAAGGCATGAGTGACTGTGGCAAGGTCCATGTCTGAGAGAAATTCCTGTCATGTTCTCTCCAACTGACTACTATCATCTTTATCTTATCCAAATATTTCAAAGGAGCACATCACTATGGTACCTAAATACCATGCACAACAATTTAGGAAGCATTAACTGCCCAAAAATATTGCTCAGGGGAATCCAACTCTTCCCCTTGTTTTGAGCTTTTTTATTATTTTTGTAAATTCCCTCTTATTTTTCTTTTTTTGTTTGTTTGTTTATTCATCTTTTCTCCTGCATCATACCTAGTAAATCGTAGCCATGACTGAAGTGCCATTGCTGAAACAAGGATTTAGCAAAAAAGTGGGTCATCTATTTCAGTATGAAGATGGTTTGAGATCCCGTCGTACAGAATTCAATGGCCACAGTCCTGCCTCCAATAGTGCTATGTACCCTGTGTCTAAGAATCTTTTTCTTGGTGGTTATGGATGTTGAGGTCTTGCAACAGTGAGGCCTAACCCATTGGTTCAACTTATAATTTACAATAGGACTTTCAATTTGAAGAAATGGATAGGAAACCAGCAGAGTGTGTAGAACACTATTGTGGTATGTTTGTAATAACTAGGGCTAGTCTTAACCAATTGGCAGTCCCAGGCAACTGCCTGTCTCACGTTGCCAGATGGTTTTAAAAAAAAAAACTCAGGAGAAAATTTGTCAAGCAAAAAATAAATAAAATTTTAAAAAGGGTTGGGGAGTAAACAGAGAAACCTGGGGGAAGGATTTGGGGGAGGTTGGGTCGAAATGCAGTCACGGCCCGCCCCAAGACAGGTTCTGTCGGCAGCCCTTTGAAAATGATGGCCCCGGGCAACCCTAAGACCGGCTCGCCCACTCCTAAGACTAGCTCTGGTAATAACTCTAAAAATGTAGTGGGTGGGGTGATGCATGTTGTATAAGTACCACTGTTTTAATTTTTCAAAAGCATGATGCTAACTCTTTTCCTCTTGAAGTCAGTGGCAGTTTTACTACTCCACCAAGCAATTTTGAAAACTCTCCCAGTAGTTTCCATTTGATGACCCATCACATTCAACTTGAGAAAATTGGTTATAACAGAATAACCTGGAGGTAACTGACACATGGTCCATGATGTCCAGGACCTTGTATGGGGAGGAGATTCCTGATCAGATAAAGATGGTGCATTTAGCTTCACTGTAATGTGTGACTGTAGCATCAGAGAGAAGTCCTGGATGACCGGATAACTGTATACCTCTTCAAAGATTGGAAATGTTGCACTCTTGACTGCAGATGACAAGGTTAGAATATTATTCAGCTCCTTGAAATGTTTCCTTCTTCCTACCATCCTAATTTCTGGGAATACATATGCATACATTTCCCCTGAAAAGATAGGAAAGCAGAAAGGAAGAAACTTTCCCCAAGCACTCTGGCTTAAAAAAAAAAAATCAGTTACTGGCCTCCCTTGCTGCTTTCCAATTCTTCCCCCATGGATTTACCACCTCCTTTAGGTTATGTCTAGACTGCAGGGTTGGTTTTTTTTTTTTTTTGGAAGAACCTTTTTTCAGAAGAGATCTTCTGAAAAAACTTCTTCAGAAAGAGAGCATCCACAAACAAAAGTGCATTGAAAAGGTGATCCGCTTTTTCGAAAGGTAATGTCCACACTGAATGGATGTTATCTTGCATTTAAGCTGTGATTACTATGGATGGAGTGGCCACCAGAGCATTTGTGCGTTTCCCTCTTTCCTCTTCTTCAAAAGAACTCCCCCTTCTGCTTCTACACACACCTTTTTCTGAAAGAGCTTTTTGGAAAAATTCTTCCTCGTAGAAAGAGGTTTACCAATGTCGGAAAAACCCCTCTGTTCTTTCAATTTTATTTTGGAAGAACATCATCACAGTGTGGACGTAACTCAGGTTTTGTTAGGAAAACTGCTGTTTTCCCAACAAAACTCTATAGTGTAGACATACCCTTAGATGAAAGCCTGAAGTCTGATGAGCCACAACTGAAGAAAGGGGTATGAGAAAGTCTCACTGCACCTGACAAGTCTACCATCAACAAGTAATAACCCATGAAGGAAATCCCATTTGCCTTCAAAATCCTATCACTACCTTGTTTCCTATCTCAGAACATTCCATTTAAATATTTTTCTGGTATTCTAAGATGCACTGCTGAATCAATGTCCCATTAAGATTTTGAAAATAAATATGTGACATTAGCAATATCATACAATATTCTGGCTAGTAGTGCTCACTTTCTACTAATTGCAAGGTTGTATTTGAGACTTGATTTTTAAACCATAAAGTTCTGGTTTTGCTCTGGTTAATATTCCATTAATGTACTTTACCACAGTAAAATATTCTCATCTAATGCAAATGCATACTAAATTGTGTCCAATTGGCTCTAGGTATTTCAGCTGGGTTGACAAAATTCATTGTATTAAACTTACATTTACTTTCTAATTAAAATAAATGTATATTGCCTGCAGCAACTGAAGCTTTAACATAGGTTTCATCAGGCAAGTAAACTGAGATAAGTCATTGTTTCTGCAAGGTTTGCTGCTTTAACTCAAGTTGAAACTTTTTTTCCCCCCTAGCTCATTGGAAAAGTAGTAATAACTGTCTTATTACCAAAGTGATATTTGTCAGCACTGATAGTAACTCTGCTTATGCAGTTATTCTGTGACTACAGGGCAAGAGCAGTGGTTTACCCATGCCCTATGTGTGGTTTCATAATTATTATTGAATCATTCCTGTAGCTCTTTCCCACACTTGCTCAGCTCATACTGTGACACAGGCAAGAATCAAGTTTTCCATAGACTGTCTGAACTCCAAATGAAAAGCCTCCTGGTAGAAAAATATATTCTGCACAGAGGGAACCTGGGCCAGAGCCTCACATGAAGTAAACCAGCATCATTCCACTGACTTCAATGGAGCTGGGATTATTTACACTAGTTGAAGGACTGGTTCCTGTATTGTAGAGGGAGCATATATTTAAAATATCCAATATCTTTTTAATTTAGTTTAGTTCAGTTCACTATAAAATGTCATTTCAGGAATTAATCCCAGACTTCCTTCACTTTCCTCACAGAAATGCACAAGAATGTTCAATATTGAAACCTAATAAACAGTTGTTAAGGTAAGAAACAGCGGAAAGGGGCAGGACCTAAATGATTTCTCTGCTCTCCATGGAATATCTAAATGGTTCCAGTTTCTGACTATGGTGAGAAGAAGAAGATGAGGCTGGAAGTACTCAGGGGCTCCAATGAAACAACCAGGAAAGGTGTTGATGACTATGTCCACGGCAAACCTCTGTAGACTCCTGATTAACAAATAGCGTACAGATCCCCTTCAGACTTGTTTGCACCTGCAGTATGGGCATAGAAACAACCTTTCATTTTATTTTCCTGATAGCTTCCTGCCCCTCAATATATCTTCAGTTTTCTGTGAGTCAAATCCCAGCTGGACAGCTCTCATTCCTGCCTCAATTTCCAGTATATTCCTGAAAAGCTTTTTGTTTGCTTGCTTGCTTGCTTGTTTGTTTATTTGTTTGTTTGTTTGTCAATTGGCCAAGATGGCCAATATAGAATATTATACCTATGGCCCTGCTAGAGAACATCTGCCTGCTATTTGCTACAGGCCCACAGACAGTGGGTCTAGTTGGATCCCCGCTTGTTTTTCAGTGTCTAGTCCAGTTTCAGCTGCTAAAAGTGTAGTCACTTTCAAAACTCCATTCTTTCCTTTAGGTGCAGATTATCACACAACTACCCAAACATTTGTTACCTGGATGTCGGACCAACTACATGGGGAGGGCTGCACCATTTAGAAACTTCAAGTGCCCATTAGTAATTTGGAGGAGAAACCTCAATATTGTTGCAAAAATGATATTAACAACATTATTGTAACTTTATTTTTTTTAATTGCTTGCACCTTTATTGAATGGTAAGGTCTAGCTACAAAAATGTTATTGTCAGGATGCTTGGAAACAGAACAATAGATATTTAGCTAATTAAGTTACAAAATCTTAAAGATGATCAAATAAACTCCAGGAAGTTTCTGTTTATGGCTCCCAAGGACAAGCAAACATAAAACTATGTAAACACACAAAGGAAGAAACTTGATTTTGATAGGAATGTAGGGTTGTGTTATCAAAACAATACATATAGAGGTAAATATAGAGGTAAAGTAGGCCTACCTAGACCGTTTTCTTTTGAAAGAAAAACCTGAGTTTAAACCTATACAAAAATTCTAGAAATATCCTTATTGAATTTGATTTCTTTTGTAAACACAGTAAATAGAAAACATACATGGTGGGAAATATTTTTTAGAAGATACTAATTATTTTCAATTTTTTCCCCACTCCTTAAAGGATCTTTGCAACTTCACAAATGCTGAAGATAATATGAGAATATTATCTTCATGTGAATATGTGACTATTTCATATCTAAATGTAAGCCTGCATATAATAACTGTCTGATAGTATTGTTACATGTAAACTGACATTTTATATACAAATATAGCAAGGTAATTTTGATGCTAGGCTAATTATTATTCCAGGAAACTATTTTAGCCTAGAATACTTATATTAATGGAAAATTAACTCAATAATTAATTACTGATAGGGCACAAGCAAGCCTTCACCCAAATGCAGGAAGACAAGAAAATGATGTTTGAAAAACTGCAATGTAGAATCAGCAACTTAGACTCAAGTCTTCCTAATAGTTATTTAATTTTAAAAGACCGGTTTGAGAACTAATATGACTTCCATAGAGGCAGTGTTTGAACTTTTGAAAAGAGAATTTTCATTAAATGTCAAACTCTAAGAAAAAAAATTCTCAGAAAATGGATTGACTAAAAAGAGTTAGTTTTAACTTTAAAAGTTATCAGAATCTTTCCTGTCACCAGAAGAACAAAGGTAATTAAAGAAAATGTTGATTATTCAGTAAAAAAAAAAAAAAAACCCTGCATATTTAGAAGCTGAAAGTGACATCTAAGTCAACTCCCATGGCATAGAGCCAAGGAAAGACTGACAGCAACCAACCTGAATCTAAAGAAGCATGAAAGAGGTGCATTTTCCTCTAATTCCATGAAAATAAAAGGAAAAGGTTATAAAAGACTCTGAAATGAGCACTCCACACTCATACACCCAGTTACTCTTCGTAGCCAGCAAGCCCACTGCAACTTTTCCTGTCCATCGACAAGCAAAGTGCCATAAAGCAATACGAAAAATAGAGAAGGCTCAAAAAAAAGCCGAGCCAAGGAAACCTCCTCAACATTTCAACATGGATTGGTCAAAGAAAGTTAACTAAGACACTAGGGGTGATGTACAGGGTGGGAAGCAAGGGACGGTATCTCTGGGGCTGGATCCTGAAGCCCCGCAGCTGGGGTCCGAAGCCTGTCGCTGTACAGCCAGGGCTTGCCATGGACCACCCCAGGTCTGAATCCCAAGCAGCACCATGCCTGGGAAGGTGGGTAACTCACACTGGTCACCTTCTCCTACAGTGTTTGTTGCTCCAGAAGTGGGTGTAGATCAGCACCTGCTGATAGCCCTCAGGAAGGGGCTGTTGCTTTGCTCTTCCCCCCAGTTACTACCCAGGAGGTAGTAGCTGCAAGGAAAGACCCTTGTGGCTGCATTTGAGAAACACTGAGCTGGGCTATTTGGCCATAAATGTGTTCTAGTAGCATCAAATAGAGAGGATTCATAACTTGGCACTTAATTAATACATGCAATTTACTATAATATCAATAATCAGTGTGTGATTAGATTTTATATAGCACCTCATAAGTCTTATTTTGCACAGATATGATTGCAGTAATGTGTGCAGTATGACTACAGGAGTGACTAGTGTCATAGATAGCTCCTCAACATTTTTCTAAATCACTGATTGAAATGTTTTCTTTTCCATTTCACAGGCTGGAGTTAAGATTGCTTACTTTTGCCAACTAGAAGAAAACTGACTATTTGTTAATAACCAACGGATCTACTTGCCAAGAAACAAAGTTATTTTTCCCAACTATAAACATTTTAGTTATTTCAAAATAACAGGCCTACTCTGTCCTTGGTCTTTCTCTTGCATCTAATGTTTTCTTATAGAATAAATAGAATGTTTTCTTATTACCCTTAATACCATTTTGTGCTTTGGCCTTTCTAATTCTTTGCTTCCACTTTCTGTAGAACTCCTTTTGTTGTTATTGTTGTTGTTTCAGATAACTGAAGATCTGCTGGTTAACCCAGTGTGGTCTCTTGCCACACTTCCTATCTTTTCAATGCAGCAGGATAGTTTGGTCTTGTGCCCTTAATAATGGCTTTTTAAAAAAAGCTAATTTTCTATGTGTCTGCACTGCACTGTTATTTTGAAATAACAATGTGAGCATCTACACAGCCATTCTGTTATGTGAAATAATTTCAAAATAACGGATGGCTTATTCTATGAGGAACAGTGCCTATTCCAAAATAGCTATTTTTGAATAAGGCATGTGTGGATGCTCCACAGCTGCTGTTTCAAAACCAAGGCCATACTGAGTTATTCCTCCCCAGTTCCTCTTGGGGCTCTAAATCAAGATAGCACATCTACATTAGGAAAGCCTGTCTCAGACTAATTTTGAGGCTTCCCTACAGTATAAACGTGCTATTTCAAAATAAACTATTTTGGAATAACTATTCCGGAATAGCTTATTTTAAAATAAGCATGCAGTATAGACGTACCCTAAAAGATTTTTCCCCTTAGACTTGTTTCAGAATTGTCATGGTTAATAACTGTGATTATTTTACTTGGTCTTGATCATGGTGCACCCCAAGTTACACAAAAGAACCCATGTGACTAAGGAGTGGGAGCCATACCTCTGAGTTAGCAGTGAAAGGAAAAATTAGGTAAAACTGGACTACCATTTCTTGATTCTCTAAAGGAAATATTTTTAGTAATTTTTAAATCAGAATTATCTGGGATCCAACAATTTAAAACTACCCCTTTCCACCTCACAGCAACCAGTGTTGTTCATAGTGGCAATATTACATCTGTGCTTTATGAGTTGCCCTGGCAGCCAACAGATTTCTGGGGGAAGCTGAAAGTGCTAGTTTTGACCTAGAGCCGATGAGAGGGCTAGTGATAAGTATAAGGAGAGTGGTTTACTGTGGGGTCTGGGACAAGTGTTTTACATTGTTTTACGACCACGAAAGCTTTGGAAAGTCCCTTTAATGTGAATAAATTAATACAATAAGGCTACGTCTACACTGGCATGAATTTCCGAAAATGCTATTAACGGAAAAGTTTTCCGTTAAAAGCATTTTCGGAAAAGTGCATCTAGATTGGCAGGATGCTTTTCCGCAAAAGCAAATCTAGACACGGTTTTCCGCAAAAAAGCCCTGATCACCTTTTTCATGAAAAACAATACTATGCGGAAAACAATACTATGCTGTCTACACTAGCCCTACACTGGGAGCAGCATAGTTTTTCTGGAAAAAATTATTTCCACAGCTCTAGAAAAGAGTTGCCATGCTTAAGAAACCAATATGGTCTGAAAAACGGCTGACTTCTGTAGCATACATATGCACTTGAGTAAAGAGGTTTAAATGAAGCAAACAGAGACAGTATATACTTTTTCTAATAAAAATGGACACATGCTGTGGGGCCTTGTGCAAAGTCCACTGAAATCAATGGAAGGCCTTAAATTAATATTACTCACCTGTGTGGTGAGAGAGATTTGGGGCCTGATTCTCATTGGGTAATGCAAAGGGGTAGTAGGCTCAGTGAGAATTAGACCCTTATGACCCGATGCTGCAAAAGATGCAGTGACAATTTCAAATAAAAATAACCTTTAGGCAGGTTGCTAGCTATGTGCTACAAAGGTCAGGCTACAGGCTGTGAGATGGTATTGAGAAATTTGTGTCAATTAAATTGGTTGGGGAAAAAGAATAAAAAGGAAAGATATTTGAATTTTAGATAATCATCATGCACATCCTATCGTTCATTCTTCAGCTGCTCCATGAGCCAGAGTCCCATAGATTTCAAACACACGTAAGGTAAAAAATGTTCTCTGTAGAGCTGGCCAGTGCAGGGCCTTATTGTCATGCATTGGTCTTTCATTGGCCTAGTGAAGCTACAGAATCAGGGCCGTATGCTGGATCGTTTTCTGAAGTTTCACAAATACCTCACAATGGTGTTAAATCTTCATAAAACATGCTGCAAGACAAAATTACATCATCTATCTCTTTTTCCTCATAGATATTATGATTCTGTGATGATTATCTCTTGTAGCCCAGCTTCAAAGATTTAAAACTTTTGAACATTTCAATCTAATTAAAACCAATGCTATCCTCCAGAGAAGGAAGCGCGGGCAGATAGTTCAAACTACAGGCATTTAAAAATGGTGGCACATGAGAACATGCTAATGAAGCCCGGGATATTTTAATCCTGGGCTTCATTTGCAAGTTTGAATGACCACATTAGCCACCCTAGTCCGAACAAGGGTGGCTAGTGTAGACATACCCTAAGATAGCAACCTTTCTAGAGAATATGTAAACATGGGAAGCAGAAAAATGCACTTACTCTAGACATGGACTGAAAGTGTGTTGTTAAATTCTGGTAACAAATAATGGCCTAAAAATTCAGGTCAGGAAGTGAACGTGAATTGAATTACCTACCTTATAGAACTGAATGGAGTTAGGCTAGAACAGAAGAAAAAATTGAATTAAATCTTTCTTATTTCAATGACATTACTAGGTGTTACCATGTTTACAGCCTGCACTGGCTTTATATATTTTTTTGGGAAGAGTGATTTAGCTAGAGTGCACCCCAGTGACACTGAACACAAAATAAGCAGAGGTACAGTAATAGCAGCTAACACATACTTACCTACTGCCACTTTACCTTTTCTGTACGTTTCAAAACCTGTGCGAACCACACATCTCTCTGCAGTCACTAATGCTTTATAGCTTGCGAGTCTTTCTTTTCCCTTACACTTGAGAATTGTATTCCAGACCTATAACCTGCTGTAGGTGGGCTATAGAGATGAGCTTTTAATGAAATAGAACACATATGCACAGATAAATGACACTAGCAATACTGTTCTCTCAGTAGCTTAAGAAAAATGAAACATCTCTGCTTAGGGAGTACAGGCAATGCTATGTGCTAATGACACCGCAGCTGAGCCTAAAGAGAGTTGGAGCCAGAAAAGCCCACTACGTTCCCACCCACTCCTGACTTCTACACATTTCCTCACTTGTCAAATCTGTCTGTAACAAAGACCACTTCTAAGAGTGTAAAATGTTTCTAAGTGAGTTATCATTAAAAGATTACACTGCCACCTTCCTCTTGCTGAGTTTTTATTAATGACTAAAGACACAGGAAGATTCCAAATCTCTCTTACATAGCTGTTAAAACACAGTCTGGTACTGAGGGGAAATAACGGTTATTCACTCTTTTTTTTTTTTTTACTGTATTCTCTTATCCAAGTCAATAAGTGACAACAATAGTGGCAGATTAAAAATAAATAGACCAATACTGAAAAGCAGACTTGTGAATAAAATATCACACTAGGCAATTATATATTGTGAAAGTTTCCTGATAATGACTGAATAGATAGGGTCTAAACTGGGGCATACATTATTGTTTTTTCACCCCTAAAATTAAAGTGGCCTTTTGTTATTCAGTATCACAGTGACTATGTTAGACTGCACGCCTTTTTCGACAGAGGCTTTGTCAACCAATACTGTTGACAAAGCCTCTGTCGAAAAAGAGTGTCTAGATTACATTATGCGGGACTCTCTGTCGACAAAAGAAGGCACCCGGAAGTGCTTCTGGCAGGGCAAGGGGGCAGCCTTTATTTCCAGGTGCTGTTGCATGCCCTTTGCAGAGAAATGTGCTTAAAGGGATTGCCCTGGACAGCTATTGCTCTGCTCCTACTTCTGGCTTGCCTACCTCCTAGAGGGAAAGCAAAGCTGCTGCAGTTCTTGCTCTGGTTGCCCTGCTTCCTCAGACACCACAGCAGTTCATTTTCTGGTTTTTTTTTCTAATTTTCACTGTTTTTGGCCATGGAGCCTAAGCTGCCTCTGGGCAGGCAATGGCCCCACACTGCCACACTGCAGCTTCTGCTGCATCTTCATGACTCTGTCGTGAATCTCCTTCCCCATATGCACCTGGACCACACTAAGAAGACCCTTCTCTGGGATGCAGGAGCTCTGTCCTTGCCTCCAAACTTTTTTGGGGACAGGCAGATTTGGAGGCATGAGATGAATTTGGACTGGTGGGACCAGCTCATCATGCAGCTCTGGGATGACGACCACAGGTTCCACAACTTCCGGATGTGGAAGGCCACATTCCTGGAGCTGTGTCTGGCTCACCTCTGCTCTGGAGCACCAGAACACCCACCTGCGGCCCGCCATCCCCCCTGAAGAAGCGGGTCACAATCGCCCTGTGGAAGCTGGCCACCCCTGACAGCTACCTCTCCATGGGACAGCAGTTTAATGTTGGGAGGTCTACCGTTGGGGCCGTCTTGATGGAGGTAATTCACTGTTGGGGGACAGGCCCTGCTGAGTGCAGGAGGCAGGGTTTCAGAAAGGGGGACTGTGAGGCAAGGGCAAGAGGGAGTGGGGGATTCAGTGGCACTTGGAGGCTGCTCCTTGGCCACCCCTGCACTGATGTGGGGGAGGAGGGCGTCCTGACAAGGGGAGGGTGGATTGGGAGGAGGGGAGGGTTCTCCTCCCAAGCGCTTAGGTAACTTGTCTAACTCCCTGGTTTCTGTCTGTCTATTTATCTCATGATGCAGGTGACGAGGGCCATCAGTGCGGAGCTGCTGAAGAGGATCGTCCGTTTCGGGGACCTGAACTACATCATTGCCGGGCTTGCCACCCTTGGATTCCCAAACTGCAGAGAAGCCCTCGATGGGACACACATTGCAACCCCATCGAGCAGCCCAGTTTATAAACAGGAAGGGCTACTATTCCATGGTGCTGCAGGCCCTTGTTGACCACTGAGGACACTTTATGGACATTTGTGTAGAGTGGTCAGGGCGGGCACATGATGCCTGCATATTCAGGAACTCCTGCCTGTACCGCAGGTTGCAGTCAGGAACATTTATTCCCCAGCGGCAACTCACGCTCGGGGACATGCAGATGCCGGTGTGCAAGTGGCCGACGCGGCCTACCCCTGATTCCGTAGCTCACGAAGCCCTACACCGGCCACCTGGATGCGAGCAAGCAGCTTTTCCACATACATCTTGGCCAGGCTCGCATCCAGGTGGAATGCGCCTTCGGATTTTCCACATATATCTTGGCCAGGCTCGCATCCAGGTGGAATGCGCCTTCGGATGGCTGAAAGGGAGGTTCCGTTGCCTCCTCACACAGCTGGAGATGGGCGAACGCAACATCTCAGAGGTGGTGGCCTCATATTGCGCCCTCCATAACCTGGTGGAGAGGAAAGAGGAGGCCTTCCAGATGGCTGCCATCCTCCAGGCTCACCAGGCTGGTGTCCAAATCCAAGAGGCCCTGAGGGAGAGATTCTCAGAAGGAGCCACTGACCCTGCCCAGGGCTTCTCCCATGGGGGGTTTGGCCTGGTCCACCCCTACCTTTCCCTCCACAACCCTCACTATTTTCCCATTAAGAAGACATATAAGAGTCTATTTTCTTTGTAAACAGAAATTTGTTTTATCAGAAACACTAGCAGTAAAGAAAATGTGTGAACTGTGTCACAAAATTTTCTTGTTCAACAGTTTATAAACAAAGTAAATCTGTCAGTCAAAAATAAAGATTTTGTTATATAGCTGAAATGACCTTGAACTGGGGTGGTAGGGGACTGAAAACCTGGAGGGGGAAGAGGGCTGAAAACCTCGAGGCAGGAAGGAGCTCAAGTAGGCTGCTGCTTCCCTGATCGCAGGGTCCTGCCACCTTCCTACTGCCTGGCATCACCACAGCCTTGGGATTGGGTGGAGCAAGAGCCAGTCCTGGCCTGGGCAGCCCGGGGGGGCAGCTGTTGGGCATATGAGAGTTTGAGAGCAGAAGGGGCTGGGGGGGGGAAGAGGGGGCTGGAGGAGTAGAAGGAGTTCGGAGGAGGGGAGGGGGGAGCAGGAGGGGCTGGGGGGAAGGAGTGGCTGGAGGAGCAGGGGGGTCTGAAGTGGGAGCAGGGGCCTGGCATGCTGGAGAAGCGGTGCCCGTGACAGGGGCAGGCAAGGCGAAGACCTCCCTCATTGTGGCACAGATGTCAGTGCACTGCTGGACCACCTCATCCAGTCGCCTGGTGCGCCACTTGGCCTCTGCCTCCGTCCTCTGCTGGAGG